GGGGGGGGGGGTCTGTCTAGTTGCTTCTTTCTCACTACAGATGACTTTTTCTGCCCTCGTGAACACCTGCTAGTCATACCAGTTGATGCTTGCGGGGTGCTCACTGTGTGGCGGGCTGTTCACTGTTTCTGTCTCTGCTCACTTATTCCTCACAGTAGCCAGGGAAGCAGGACTAGGATGATCCCCATTTTACAGATGACAAGAGTGAGACACAGAGAAGTGAAGTAACCTGTGCGAGGTCACACATTCCTAGGGGACAGATGCCGAGTGGTCTGGCCCCAGGTCCAAGCTCTTAACCACTGTGTTACCAAATGCCACACCCCAATTCAGTTTTTGTACTTGACAGCCCAGTATGGCCCAACAAGGACCAACTTGCCTCTGTGGCCCTGTTTCTAACTCCTTGCAGAGGCTCTGATGTGCCAGGTATCCACCCCTTCCCAGGGCACTGGCACTCAGCTGCACCAAAGGGGAGGGTCATATGGCAGAGACATGACTGCCAGGTAGGGTGACCAGAGAGGTTGCTAAGTCAGAGTGACAACCAGATGGTCCCAGGCAGATCAGGATGGTGGGTCACCTACATAGGTTTAAAGGGAGAAGGGGCCAGTTCTCAGATAAACGGGCAGTTAACCAAGAAGGCACTCCAAATGGTGACGACAGCATCGTAAGAACACCCCCCCTCACCTCCACCGCCCCCAGCAACATCTTCCTGCTTATCTGAGTTAATGTCAGAGGGTGGCCACGCCAGGATAAGACAGAACCGGGGTCTCTATAGACCTGTGGAGTCTAAGCAGCATGGGGGGAAAGTTCTGGCAGTGACCATATTAAAGGGTTTGACAGTTGAGGAGAGGGAGGGGGAATTTGTCTGCCAACGGCCAGCAGAGGCTGAAACAGGGAGCCAAGCAAGTCAGGGAGGCTCAGAAGGCAGGTGCCCCAGCAGGAGGGCTCAGCAGGTGCTAGGGGCCTCGGGGCTGTCTTGTCACTCATGCTGGCCTCCTGGTGGCCCTCGCTCTTTTCCTTTTCAAGCTGTGTATTTATAATTTTCAGCCTTGAACACATTTCTCTAGCATCCCCCAGTTCCTCACACGGACCTTTGAAGACCTGCGTGCCCGAGGCATATGGGCCGGTGCTCTGGAGGCCTTGGGAGGCTCCACAGTGACATCGGTGAATGGGGACTCGGTGGACTTACCGTGTTCGCTGGCAACGTGAAGTTCAGTGAAAAACTCTGCAACAGAGAAGGAAACACTAAAGCTCCCAGGAATGGTCAAGCTCCCGACCTCTCCACCAAACATCACTACCCTGCGGGTTCAAGAGCACTCACTGATCCCACAGTCTCAGTTAGCCCATGTCCTCTCCCAATCTCGCCCCCAAAAGAGGGCAGGGGAGCAGGGAAGTTTGAGGTCCCGGTTCCTCCCTCTGCATCAAGTCAGTCTCGCCAAGGCTGGCCTGCAGGGGTATTGCCTGAGGAACCCCAATCCGCAGGGGCAGTAAAAAAATTCTGAGAAATTCAGCAAAGTGCTAAAAATGGTCCCCAGCCCCCGAATTCTTTTCAGGGAGGGAACTGTGTGAATGTAGAAGTACTTGGTACTTTTTGCTTGGGTTAAGAAGTAAGACCCCTAAGGGACCTGCTCTAAAAAAGGCCCGCTCCTTAAACCCCTTCCAGGTGACAGAGGACAAGTCTGTGAAGGACAAGGCTTCCGTTTTTGCCGAGTCCAAGGCAGAGGTTCTGGGCTGCAGAGGAGCTGGTCAGGATGACAGAAGAGAAGCTAACCCTCCCCTCCCCTCCCTCAATACCAGCCTCACCTCTCCCCCTAATATGGAGTCAATATTTAAAGTCCGTGGGTTTAATGGGGCACCAAATTGTTGGCCCGCCTGGGTGCCCGCTTATCTGGGCCAGGCCCTGCCAAGGGTGTGCCTTCCTCTCCCAGCTTCATCTTCTGTCTCCGTAGTTTGGGCTCGTCAATGCCAGTCTTTCCAGGCTACTCTTTACCGAGACCAAGAGAGACGTTATTCTAGGACATCGGAGCAGGAGGGACATCTGGGCCACCACAAGTCAGGGGCTTCTTGCCCAAGGGGCCTACCCACTGCCCTTGGTTCTTAACCACACCAAGCCCACAGATGCTGCCAGGCCACTTGCTGGGCACCGCACGGACACAGCTGCCCAGAGCCTTATCTCATCGGTGAGTGCTGGGCACTGACGTCAGCAGGCCTGGGACAAAGCTTCCTTTGGGGGACAGCAGACGGGAGGAGCAGCAACAAGCGGGCCATTGCGTGTGCTGTTTATCAATATTTGGATGACGAAGGTTTTGGCCAGCTTCAGAAAGACAGTCGTGTTTTGTAGAAACACACTGCAGTGCTCTCATGGAGAGAAAAACACCACGTAAAGTTGGGCGGAGATGAATCTGACGCAGTGTTCTTTAGAGAGGCAGCTGGGTGGGGTGAGGCAACCCTGGGTCTGGAGTCACCTCATCGGGATCTGAGTCCAGACTCAGCCTCTCAGTAGCTGTGTGGCCTTGGAAAAGCGACTCAGACTCTCTGGTCTCCATTTCTTCACAACAGATCTATTCTCCCAGGCTCAGGTTTTCCATCCTCAGAATGGGGATACGATTAACTTGCCCTGCCCATCTCACAGGATAAGTCCCAAGGAAGTAACATCTGGGGCCGCTCCATGCAAACTGTGGGACACTCTGGGTGTGCGAGGTCCACATGGTGCCATATTCGTCATGACCCTGCACAGAGCACGGAAGAGGGAGGACACTTGGGAAGTTCTTTTTGGATGGAATCACATACATGCATCAGCAATATTCAAAGTACTGGAATTAGGTACATTACACTTGTGGGCAGAATACACTTATTGTTAGCAAAGCACAGCATGACATCCACATGATGGTCCTGAAGGCTCTTTGGGATCTCAGCGGCCGAGCGGCACTTGTCATAAGTTTGCCGTTCGTAAGGAGAAGGGGAAGAGTGGGAGAATCACCCCCCGGTACTGGGTGTGCTGGGTGTCAGACGCTGAGCTCACCACCTCCCCGTGAAAGGTGTGCTCTCATCCCTACATCATGGGCGAGGGGACTGAGACCAGGAGGGGCTGCTGAAAGTCACCAGCTGGTAAGTGGGGGGTTGGACTGTAGATCCTCCCAACTCCGAAGCCCGAATTCCCCTCCTTTTAACAATCCCTTTAATAAAGAATCACTGAAGCCTCTTCAGTTTCCCCTCCAGCTTAGCAAACTTCATTTGATTGAGTCACAACCAAATATGTATCACAAGGCAATAAAAAATGGAGGGAAGTTTGATGCAACGTATGAATATCTATGTTGCTGATCAGGCAGCAGAAGGTAGACTGGACAATATGGGATAAAGGCACTGACCGGACCCATTGCTTCAACTGAAAAATTAATTCAGCTGAAACATCTACTTTGTACCCTTGCTGAATGTGGGGTATTACAAATAAAACTGAAATATTAAAATAAAAGATGACATATCTTGGATGAGAGGGTGAGAAGAGATAAACCAAAGAACTTACATACTTATATGCATAACCCATGGACACAGACAATATGCTGAAGGCCTGGGCGGGGGGAGGGGTTGGGCAGAGGAAGGTAAAGGGGGAGAAATGGGGGACATCTGTAATACTGTCAACAATAAAAAATATTTAAAAAAATAAAATAAAAGATGAGATCAGCAAATATTTGATGAGAACTTTACAAAAATGATTAATTAGTATTTTGCACATAGGAAAATAATTTAAAACCAAGCCCCTTGACTTTATTGTACCAAGGAAACAAGTATATTAGAATTAGAGATGTGAGCGTTAAAAGCCTGGGAATTGTTTTTATACAGAAAGAAGGAAGGTTATGCTGAGAAAAAGATGCTAGCTGTCACTTACCATTTCGACAGCCTCCCAGAACCTTCTCCAAACACTGTCCAGGCTCCTTTCTCTCCGGAGTTATTGGCTGTGTCTCACATTTGTAGAGACATCCAGCTGGGAGAGCAAGGGTGACAGGGCAAGAGGTGGCTCCAAGAGAGCCCTGGCCAAGCCATTTATGGTCAGGGGAGTAGCCAAGTCCTCAGCCCAGCCCTCAGGGAAGATGGTCTCCTGATCCATAGCTACTGTGTACGGCTGGGCTCACCCACCCTCTTTGCCTTTTATTCCTCTCCTTACTTTTCGGGTCCCTTCCCCGGTTACACCTCCAACTCAGCAAAGAGGCCACAGCTAGCCGGAGAGCTCGGCGGCTCCTGCAGCTGGATCGTCTTTAGAAACAATGGGTCCCACAGGCTGAGGGTGGCCCAGCTGCCAGGCATCGGCGTCCCAGCAGTGATGGAGGCCACACAATACCAGCATCACTGCGGACGCCGCCTGGGAGACAGGGGCTGGGACCTGCTGTGTATTTGAGGCAGGACTGTGGCTGCCACAGTGCACACACTCCCTATTAATGAGCTGCCTGGGGGTGAGTGCGGCCTCACCCCTTTCTGTTCTCACACTTTGAGTGGAGACCCTTCTAGAGCTGGAGGAGACTGTTGACATGAGGCCACTTTTTATTTCTTATGAGTTCTGTTAGGAGTTTGCTTCTTTAAAATGGGGAAGGAGTTGGAGTCCCAAGCCAACAAAACAGCAGAATTAAGACCAATAAATCTGACCGTTTAAATGAGTGCATTTCTTCATTTATTTAACAAATCTTTTTGGCACCTCCTATCTGCGGAGTGTTATCCTGGGCACCACTCGCCGAATTGGTGATGAAGACAAATGAGGCCCCAGCTCCTAGGGAATGTTTGTTCCAGCGAGGGCAGGAATCACTGTGGAGAAGCCAACAGGGTGGGCGGGAAGGGTGAGCGGAGTGACCCAGAAGCAGTTGCTTTAGATGTCCCGAGAGATGACATTTAAATTGCATGGGAAAGGTGAGAGGGCCCCAGGCAGAGGGAACAGCAAAGGCAAAGCCCTGGGGCTCAAGCAGGCCTGGTGCCCTCACATACCTGAGGCGCCCCTGTACCTGGAGCGACAGAAACCAGGGAGTAACCTGGAAGGAGTTAAAGACAGAGTGAGTTAGGGACCTACCTATGGTGTGAGCAGGGCAGGGCAGGTAAATTTCTACTGTAGACAACGGGAAGCCTTTCGAGTGTTTTAAGTGGGAAGGGAGCCTGAGCTAATTGATGTTAACGAAGATCACCTGGCCTCTCTGTGGCACCCAGATTACAGGGGACAAGAGTATTAACCCAGACACTGGTTCACAGAGTCCAAGTGGGCGACAATGACGGCCGCCCTGGGTTGGGGCAGAGGGAAAAGAGAGCTGTCTATGGGTCTGTGACTGATTGTGGAGGCAGAGGCCATGATATTTGATGATGCGGGGCAGGGAATGTGGGGCAGGGGAGGGGAGAGAGGATTAGGGAAAGAGCAGAATGGAGCTGACTCCTGGGTTTGGAGCTTCACTAACAGAGGGGATGGAAGCCACATTTGTTTAGTTGGGTTAATACTGGAAAAACAGATATGGGGTGTGGATCCAGGCAGTGGGCTACGGACCTGAACAAGACCAACGTGGTCTCTGTCTCACGGGGTTTCCAGTTCCCAAGACAATGCCTAAACTGAATCTATTGGTACGTGCCCATCATGGAGACAGTCCAGGGAGGTCTGTATGGAAAGTCTTAGCTGCCCTTCTGGAGGCTATGTGATCTTAGACAAGGGAAGTAACTCCTTCCAGCCTCTGTCCCAAGCTATGAAATGGGGATGATACTTCTGACAATGACTGGACTACTTAAATCAGCACAACTGGTACAAAGTATGCTTCTAACTTTGCTTGGTGGGCATAGAATCACACCTGGACTAGATAATTGGACAAGGAACTCCAGTTCATGGTTCCAGCCCCCTCTGGCTATGCTCTCTGTGGATGGGCAAGGCCAGTGATTTCCTTTTTGACTTTTTGTTTGCTGTGCATCCATTGACCACCAACTCTTCCTCCAATGGACATGTTAGTCCTTTAAAAGAATTACTAAGACCTCTCTAGTCCACGGTGTCCTGGCCTAAGTGTCTGGGTCAGTCATGATCCCCAGTCACAAGCATCAAAACAGATTTTGATTAATTTAAGAAGAAGGGGATTTATTGGTTGGGTGCAGTGGGGCTCGCAGAAAGAAGAGGGGGCCGGGGAACCAGGCTCTGGAAAGACAGAGTGAGGTTGCTCCTGAGGCTTCAGCAGCAGGAACTCCTAGACAGTCTTCTCGGGATATCCTCCCAGGAAAAATGAGCTCCAAAATACCTCAGCCCCTTTTCCCCTTGATCAAGACTCCAATTCCAGGAAGAGGATATTATGGTCTGGCATGGGGCATGTGCCCAAACAGGATCTGCCGCCTGGCTGACAATCTGCCCAATGTGGGTCCCTCCAATACAAGAAGAGATGGTTTTGCAAGAGGAACTTGGCACCATCTCCAAAAGAAGGGGGCATGGGTGAAGTGCATGGGCTTTCCTCCTCTGGAAGTATTAGGCCTGAGAATTATTTTCTGAGAAGTTGCAGAAGGAATGCCCTTAGTGGGTGAGAGGTTAGGGCCACCAACTCTGAGATTCTCTGATCATTTGTATTTTGCCACCATTTAAATTTGCACAAGCCAGATCACACTGATGACTTGCCTGGCAACTGGTCAGTTTAAAAAGCCTGTCCATTCTAAGGCCACATGATAGGTGACCTTATTCTAATTGTTAAAAATCTTTATCTAAAATGTCAGTAAGGAAATAGTGATGAAGTAAAATGTTGAAACATAGGAATCAGCAATGCTCCAGGTAGCAACTGGTCCATCAGCCCAGCCAACACCTGACTGATAATGACATGGAAGAGCTACCAGATACCAGAAATCAACATGTACGAGCAAGAAATAAGCTTTTCTTATGTAAAGCCCCTGTCACCCAGGGGTTGTTTTATTGCAGCATAAGCTACCTTTCCCTGACTGATTCATCAAGCAGTCATACCCTTGCACCATTGGGGCTCATCCTTTACGTACTGGTGACTACAAAAGGCAGAAAAGTCATAAAGCCTTGACACTCTACATATAGCATAAAACAGTAGCATGTGTTAAATAGTTTGGCACTAATTCTGAGTGTTTTTATAAACATGGTCCCTTATTATCCTTCCCTAATATGACCCACAAAACTCCAAGCATATCTAAAAGTCTCTTCATTGGGTCAACCTAAAATGATTGTCCTTGATTGGATAGAGTCTCTGTTCTTCAGTTAGAAATGATCCTGTATCAGTTAGGGTCCCCACAGGATATTAGTGACATACTCAATTGTGTGTATTTGAGAGGGTCTTATTAAAAGGACTGTTTATAAAGGTCCCTCATGGGGGACAGATAATGCAGTATCCCTAGGGGAATGAAGGTTAGGCCAGCAGTGTCATTACCATCCTTAGGGGAATGAAGGGGTGAGTGGAAGGAGTGGCTGCCAGAGCCCAGAAAGCCACCTTATAGGAGCCATGGCCTTTAGTTTTAGATGTCAGATGTGGTCCTCAGGCACAAAACCACATGGAGACGAGTGGAGGGAGTTGCTGAGGGACACATGGAAGGTGCCTACCACATCTATACCTGTGTAGGAGCAACCATCTCCATAATCATTACGTTGTCAGATTTCCAGTCCGTTTGGGTCTAAGAAAAGGGGCAACTTTGAAGCCACCTTTAGCTTTGCTCATGACTTTCTGGGCCCAATAGGGAGGCTTGTTCTGGAGTCAAGCATTAGGTACTCACCAGAGAGCAGAAGGCCATAGAGAAGGATCCCCTTTTTCTATGCTCCCCAAATTGTTGTGGTATTGGGGGAAATCATCATCAATCTTATCTGAATGGTAATACACACTCAGGACACAGCAATCCATCCACATTATTTAATAAAACAATTCTTTCTAGACCGAGACACATGTTTGTTCCTTTGCACTTTCCTCTTTGAAATTTCCAACACTTCATAAAATGGAAAATTACACAAAATTAAAATACAATATATTTATAGATAACCCTCTAAAAGTTTTTCTTCCTTATTTTTTTAAAGAAACCTTTTAGGCATTTGGGATTCTTTTTCAGAAGTTCAGTTTACAAAGGAAACTTGAATGACATCTGCTGGAGCCCTGGGAAGATCTATTCACGAACTGAACAATGACAATACCACAGATTACTTGAGGCTTATCAAAGGGACCTGGTCAATGGCAAATCCCAGTGCAAACCTGCCAGTTAACAAGATTTTACAAATGATTTAAACAGACTGAATGTGTCATGAGTAACAGGAAACTTCCCTTTACAAGGAAATGAAGTTGCAGTGAACCAGCCCACAGCCTCGCTTTCTCTGTTTGGAGAAGTTCCACAGGCTAAAATTACCTCCAGACCCTTGCCCTGCCCTGGGATCCAGGTTCTAGCTTCTGCTAGACCAGATGACACTAGCATTGGACCAAGCTGAAGACCCAGACCCTAAATATTTCATCAGGTCGTCAAGACAATTCTCTGAACTGAAGCTAGCCTTGGAGCTCTGTGCCATCCCCCAGGCCCCACATCCCGCGATGTGTGCGGGAGGGTCACTGAGCATCTGAAGCACCGAGGCAGGGGCCTGGGCCTTCCTGCTGAATGGACTTTCCTCGCATGGAGCCAGCGTGCAGACACTTACAGAACCTGCCTCATGCGTAAATCCCATGAGTGTGGACTCTTAGGGGAGCAAGCTGACCAGCCCCAGCTGAATCAGAGCTTGTCTTTTCTGGGAATACGTCACTCTCAGAAGGCCCAACTAAAGGTTTTCATAAGAGTCTCATTGTTTCAAATTGGCCATAGGTTGATAATTGTTGAAGTTGTGTGTTTTCGAAAATACTCATGCTAAAGAGATAAAAATGACTCTCATTGTTTCACGAGGGGGCACACACACTGAGGCAAAGCTGTGTGTGTCTGACTCCCTCCCACTTTTCCAGGGAATTCATTACTTTTGTTTAGACTTCTACAGGTTGAAGCTACAGAATTTTCATGTCCTTGGAGAGAGACCCTTAAAGGCCACTTACGTGTCCTGATGTCAGTTTTAACTTGGATAGATAAGCTGAGACAAACCCAAAAGATAAAAAATCAGAGAAATGGAATCCACCCTCACAGGCAGGTGAGACCTCC